AAAGAGATAATAGTATTATGTATGGTCCCTATGATAAATTTGGTAGACGATTTTCTGCAGCTTTATATACAAGAACTTTATCAAATTTGGAGAAGTGTGATAGAGAATGGTTAGTATATTCGAAAGAGCTAGATAGGGTATTTTGTTTTTGTTGTAAAGTGTTTAGAAAAGGGATTTCGAAAGGTAAATTGGATGGTGAAGGTTATGCAGATTGGCACCATGTTACCACTAGGGTTAAAGAACACGAAATTTCATTGGATCATCTTACAAATAGGAATAAGTGGTTTGACATGCGTAAAAGATTGAACTTGAACGAAACAATTGATAAAGTTCAACATGAGCAGTTCAAGAAAGAAAGAGATTACTAGAAACAAGTGCTTTTAAGAATTATTGCAGTTGTGAAGTTTCTTGCTAAACATAATTTAGCATTTTGCGGATCCAATGAAAAGTTGTATAAAAAAGGTAACTATAAATTGTATTTTATTTGTTCCAGTTCCACCAACAATCTTTTTTTTTTTAATTATGATGACCGATTCCACTTCTTATTTGTTAATTGTATTTAACATGTAATGGAAATTTTTTGGGTGTCATTGAAATGTTGGAAGAGTTTGACCCGGTTATCAAAGAGCATGTGCGACGCATCACAAGTGAAGGACTTCATGTGCATTATCTTGGCCACCTAATCCAAAACGAACTAATATCTTTGCTAGCTGAAGAAATTAAAAAAGAACTTATCAAGAAGATAAAGGAAGCAAAGTACTACTCAATCATACTTGATTGTACTCCCGATTCAAGTCACCAAGAACAGATGACTATAATAGTAAGGTATTTAAAGTTATCATATAATTCTGTTACTATCAAGGAATCCTTTTTAGGTTTTTTGAATGTTGATGATACCTCCGGAAAAGGATTATTTGATATTACACTTGAGGAGTTAAAGTCTCTTGGTCTTCAAATTGATGATATGCGTGGTCAAGGCTATGATAATGGAGCAAACATGAAAGGAAAACACCAAGGAGTGCAAAAGAGATTTTTAGATATAAATCCTAGAGCATTTTACACTCCTTGTGGTTGCCATTCTCTTAATCTAACATTATGTGATATGGCTAACAAGTGTGTTAAAGGAAAGAACTTTTTTGGATTCATCCAACGTATTTATACCATCTTTGCAAATTCTACTAAGAGGTGGGAAATTTTGAAAGATAATGTTAAAGCTTGGAGTCTTAAGTCATTATGTCAAACTCGTTGGGAAAGTCGAGTTGAGAGTGTAAAAGCTATTAAACTGCAACTTATGGATGTACAGGAAGCTTTACTTCAAGTTGGAGAAAAAGATAATGATGCTGCAATTGCAAGTGAAGCAACTTCACTAGTAGAAAAAGAACTTAGTGACTTTGAATTTTTGGTATCAACTGTTGTTTGGTAGGAAGTACTAAACCGTGTGAATATTGTGAGTAAGAAGTTACAATCAAAGGATATGCATCTTGATAATGCCATTACAGAAATAAACAAATTGATTGGGTACTTCAAGGATTATAGAGAGACTGGTTTTTCAAAAGCGATTGTTGAAGCTAAAGAGATTGCTATTGAAATGGGTATTGATCTAATATTTCCACAAAAGCGTTTGATTGAAAGGAAAAAAAGGTTTGATGAGAGTTCAAGTAGCGAAGAAGTTTCATTTACACCTGAAGAGAATTTCAGAGTCAATTATTTCTTATACATTGTTGATCAAGCTATTTCTTCTCTTGAGACAAGATTTGAACAATTCAAAGAGTATGATAAAGTATTTGGTTTTTTATTTCCACATAATTTGAGGGGAATTGAAGATAAAGATCTTAAGTTATATTGTTATCGTCTTGAAAAAGCACTCAAGTTTGAAGAAAGATCAGATATTGATGCCGAGGAGTTTTATACGGAGTTGAAATTATTTGAGACATTGGAAACCAATGAATTTAGCAACCCTATAGATGTTTTGAAGTTTTTGAAAGAACTTGATTATTTCCCAAATGCAAGCATTGCATATAGAATATTATTGACTATTCCAGTAACGGTCGCATCTGCAAAAAGGAGTTTTTCCAAATTGAAATTTGTGAAATCTTACTTACGCTCCACAATGACCCAAGAAAGACTTAGCGGTTTGGCAATGATATCTATCGAGAACGAAATCTTAGAGAGTATAGACTACGAAGAGTTGATCAACCAATTTGCAATCAAGAATGCTAGGAGAGCTTCAAGGATCGTCGGTTAGCTGTTAGGATATGTTATTAGTCATTAGAATACTATGATTTTGCTATATTTATTGCTATAAGGTTTATCGTCATTTTAATAAAAAAATTAGTTTACATAATTTAATTCCTTAAATTGTTACACGTTAAGGTCTAAGGGCCTTTTTTATCCGTTTCGTCCTGGGCATTTGAATCCTCAGAACCGGCCCTGTACAGTTTTTTTAATAATACAAAGTGGCTTAAAATATATCAAAACTCAAAAGTATAACGTGTTTTTGTTTTTCAATTTGTAATTGTAATGATTGTGGTTTATAATTTGGAATAAGATAGTAGCTTTTTTATGTAAAATATGTGTATCGTATATTTTGGGGTGGCCAGATCTTTAATGAGTGTTGCAAGTTGGTTTTAGAAGGATTTTATCAAGTTGAAATAAATAAATAAATCAAAACATATAATGAGTTTGAGTTTTAAGTTTGTAAAACATCAACTTGAATTGTTTGAGTCCTATCTTTTGGATATTTTTACACTTGTGTCATTATTTTTTCACTCATATTTTTTGCATTTTCATGAAATGTCTTGCATAGATTATTTAGTTTTTTGACATGCTTTTGCGGAGTTGCGGGGTTCTAACAACGACGTAAACGTTCTTGATCAGTCACTAATATTTCATGACATTTTGACAGAAAAGGCACCGTATGCTCCTTTCACAGTAAATGAACATGAGTATAAGTTCGGGTATTACCTCACAAATGGAATATATCCATCATATTCCATGTGTGTGAAGGCGTTTCGACACCCAATAGAATCAAGAGACAAATTTTTCAAGAGAAAACAAAAAGGAGCACGTAAGGACGTGGAATGTGCTCTTGGAGTTTTGAAAGCAAAATGACACATAGTTGAATTGGAACATCCAAACATGTTGATTGGACATTCTATAAGATATTATGTATGCATGTATCATTAGGCAAAACATGATGATTAAAGGATGAAAAATTGTTGAATATTCGCCTACGGAACCTACCAGGGATAGCAGAATACTTATATAGAGTCGTTGATATTCAAGACCACGAAAACATAAACAACTTCAAAAAGACTTGGCAGATCATATCTACGATGACACTGAAGTTGAATAATTTAAATCAAAAATATAATTTGTTTCGTCTTTTTTTTGGATTTTAGGTTTTTAAATATGTTTTTATCCTTAGTTGTAATTTTTTTATGTTGTTTTTAATTTAGGATTTAAATTTTTATTTTTACTTGTTAAATGTTATTTTTAATTTATGATTTAATTTATATGATAATTATAAATATTATGACATAAATAAATAAAAAAGAAATTGGAAATACAGAAACTAAAAACATCAAAATAAAATTACAAAATAAAATAAAAAATAATTAGTGTTATTATATATTATTTAGTGTTGCTTATTTCCACCTTTGAACATCCATATATGATTAAGATGATGATGTGATACATTTTGGGTGTGATAACATGTAATAATATGTTGCCTACACATAACAGTCTTAGTTAAATATCAACCAAGTAAGTTACAAACATGTCCCTAGAAAATATATTAGTTACAAACATTACCTTTATAATTCCACTCTCACCCAAACAAATCCATACAAAACAAGGGAGGAAGCACCAATATAATCAAGGGATAATGACTTGAAAGGGTAACGAACTTTCGACTTTTGTCACATTTAGTCACTAAACTTTTTTTGTTATCTATTTGCCATTAAACTATTGAAACTGTTCACATTTTACCCTTATGACCGGCTGTTACCGGTCATAAGGGTAAAATGTGAACGGTTTCAATAGTTTAGTGGCAAATAGATAACGAAAAAAAGTTTAGTGACTAAATGTGAAGAAAATCGAAAGTTGTTTCCCTCTAAAAAGTTCGATGACTAAATGTGAACAAACTTCCTATTATATTATGTTTTAGCAAAATTATTTATTTTTGTTTAATTGTAGCAATATTTGTTGATGAAGAAATCTATGAAATAAAAAATAAAAAAAAACAAAATGCAACATCCGGATTTCTAGGTATCATAATTTAAGTATTTTTCTTTTGAGTTAAGAAGAGAGACTCGACGAGTTGACGCCTCAACTCGTCGAGTAAGGTCGCGACTGATGACTCGGATTAATGAATGGACTCGACAAGTCGGTGAGGCGACTCGACGAATCTGCGCTGTTGGCAGAAACCCTAAATCTTTGGGCCCGAGCCATATTTAAAGGCACTTATGGTCTTCAATTACAAACTACCTTTCCCATAAGTGAGAACCCTAGCGAGCTTGAGTGTGTAGAGTGAGAGGAAGAGTTATCTTGAGTTTTTTGGTGTGATGGATCTGGACCCTTCTAGGTTCAGAGAGCCGAGAATATGAAGCTTTAGTAGAGTAAACCTTGGGGTTCGAAGTTAGGAAGCATTTATGGGATTTTTATGGTAGATATAGTTACTTTCATCTTACACATAGATATGAAGTATTTTATATAAATTACGTGCTATGTGTGCATATTATTTGAATACTTGATGTCTATGTTGGATGAACGATTTTATACATGTTTTAAAAGATTTAAACGGTATATTTATTTTATATCTACAAATATGTTGCGGATGAAACATGGGTAGATGAAATAGTTGGTGTGTGATGAAATAAAATGATGAGAGATATGTGATGATAGAAATGTGATGATAATTAGGTATATAGATGATGATGAATATGTGATGTAGGATGAAAGGAGAAACCATAACTTTAACCAGCAATGTGACGATGTAGTCATCTACCAGAGTATAGATGGTGACCACAGACTATTCTAGACAACACAGTGGAAACACCAACAGGCCCATAACCTGTAGGTGATGAATTACGAGTTCAGGCGATGTTGTAACTACGTATTCATGCGATGATACTCTAACCCCTTACTATGAATTACGAGTTCAGACGATGTTGTAACTACATATTCATGGGATGTCACAAATTTCGCATGCCAAACCAATGGTCATAATTCACATCAGTGAGAATGGTTCATTTTTTTGTAAAACCAAAATTAGATTGGAAATTTTGATTTTTTATTTTGGAAAATGTCAAACCATTGGTTTTGTATTTTGGTTTCGGTTTTTTTGTTTTTTTTAAATATATTTTTAGGGTTTTTTTTTTTTTTTTATTTCATAGATTTCTTCATCAAGAAATGTTGCTACAATTTAACAAAAATAAATAATTTGCTAAAACATAATACAAGAGGAGGTTTGTTTACATTTAGTCATTGAACTTTTTAGAGGGAAACAAACTTTTGACTTTTGTCACATTTAGTCACTAAACTTTTTTTCGTTATCTATTTGTCATTGAACTATTGAAACTGTTCACATTTTACCTTTATGAATAGCCGGTCATAAGGGTAAAATGTGAACAGATTCAATAGTTCAATGACAAATAGATAACGAAAAAAAGTTTAGTAACTAAATGTGACAAAAATCGAAAGTTCGTTACCCTTTCAAGTCATTATCCCTATAATCAAACCCCAGACTTTGAAAATGGTAAACTACATTTGTTGCACATATCAGGAGACAAGTTTTCTACCACTGTTTTGATAATAAGGACTTTTGGGCATTCAGGTCTTTTCAGGTGTCATAACTGTTTCTACTGTTTTACTGCATACTCATTAATCCATGAACTAAATTATAACCAAATTTCAAGTAAAAATATCAACTCAAAAACATTTCAAACGAAATAAAATCTCTGCCATATAATCCAACAAAAAAGTACAAACTATAAAGAAAACCAAAACTAGTCATCAACTTTATCTCTCGACTACATGATACTTTCTTTTTCTTAAGCCTACTCCTTACGAACAAAGTAGAGCTTACCCATGACATGAAGAACAGCAACAAAAGCAATGAACCCAATGCTCATCACAAGAACAACATTTGGGGATATCTTCAATCCAGGTGCATCATCTGTGTAAAACTGCAGCATGTTTCCGGCAGTTCCACCTGCAGCTGAACTTCCAGTGGCGCCACCGGTCCTCCTCCTTCGTAAGTTGGCTGCCGCCGCAGCTGCACTTCCTCGTGGTGGAGCTCCGCCATTCAAAGCCATTATTCTCTGCTCAAAACCATGTAATCACAAATTATTAATCCGAATTTACATATCTACCCTTTTAGCAATTAGGGCTTGCTACAATATTAAAAATGTTGGACAAGAAAGCAAAAATAAAGCTGCAGAACTACAAAAACTTCTGATTGATTCATGAATGTAGCGATAATATTTGAAGAATTCATAATCATTACAATTGTATTTGCGATCTAGATTAGCTATTCGAACCGAAGAATAAGGAAATTCAAAAGCAGATCCGAGGAGCAGAGCGGATAAATTTCAAGTACTTCATCGATTATTCAACCAATTCAATCATTGTGGATAAACAAAAAGCAAAAGAGATGGAAAAACTCAATTTATTTATATATCCTGAAAAAAAAAACCTTACGATCAACGATTTTGGCAAAATCGAGGGCTACGGTATATATAAAGAACGATCTAACTAATCAAACTTCATTCATCGGGCTTATATATGTAATCACAAACAGATCTACAGTTAGCATAAACTAAAATTGGTTGTACTAACTCCAAATCAAGATTGAATTATCAAAAAATTAAAACAAAATCCCATGATCGATGAACAAATAAAATATAAAGCTATGTGAAGAAGGAAGAAAATCGACTAACCTTTAGCAAGTAGATCAAAAGGTTCCGATATCGTTCTCCTCTGGCTTCGAAGTTCCAATATTTACGAGAGAAGAACGAAGACAATCAAGAAGATGGCTTACTTCGTGGCGTTGAACTTCTTGGCGTTAGGTATCGTAGCTGCCACATCGATTAAACCAATCAAAGGTTGCCACGTGTGATTCGTGGTTTTCCCATTTATGACTTTTCTTTTGGAAATTATCTGCTAAATAGGCCTTGGTTCCTTACAAGTTGTACAATGGAAGTTTTGATTCTACAATCGGCCCAAATTGGATACTATGGGCCTAAGGCTATTAATGTCTAATAGTTATAACTTATAAGTTTATACTATTATTTATGACACTTAAAAGGTTCCATATTATTCTTGCGATTAATCAAATCATTTACTACTTACTATCATTATACGACCCATAAGGTGTTGGTGATTTTAGTATTACTGTTTCATTTTAAGTAACTGGAACTAACATGTAAGCTAAGGTACTTCATAATTTGTATTCTAATATATGTATGGAGTAGTGCGGAGTGCACGTATGTATAAGATCAAATTAGAAGCCGGTTCGACGACTAGTCAGGAGTCCGGGGTTTCCAAAGTGGCAGCGCCCCTAGCGGGGTCCAAGGGGCAACTAATGACAGCCCAACCCTAATCCGTTAGTTTTGAGGGTGATTATGGTAAAACTAACGAAACTCGTTAGTTTTGGTAACCCTAATCCGGATTAATATTATTTGCTTCCAATGTAACTAATGACGGTCCAACCCTAATGAAACCCTAATCTTGTTTAATATATAAATGACTTTTTTTTTTATACAGAAGGGGGTTACGTTCTTTAGCTCTCGGTTTTTCATCACACATTTATAGAACCCTTTAGCATATTAGCTTACGTTTTCTGTGCCTAGAAACGTAAGTGTCCACTTGGATTATCCCATGCTGAATTTCTTGTAACCCATACATAGGGTAGAAATATCAGTTCGGAAAGTGATATTACGATCCAAGTTGGTATCCAGATCTCCACCAAAAACCCTAAATTTCTCTACATAAGGTTCACATTATGGGTATGCACATACTCTAATAATATCACATTTGTGCAAACTCATAACATTTCATTAGATTTTACAAACAAACAATAATCCCTATGTTTAATTTGGTACCAATAAATGAGTGATCTTAGAAACATCTCATGTCATGCTTGATTTGGTTTCAATAAACACCTCGCCACAAACATCCTATTGCACGTAAGGGTAACACGCATTATAACCCAGTTATGATATTAGGGTTAAAGTGCATCATTATTCATGTTAAAAATTTTGTAAAGAACTTGTTATGATCACTTACAGAGAAATTTTGGTACGTTCATTTTAGTAACACTAAATTTAAAACCGATATCATTTATATATTTCTTTTGAACATCAGTTAGTTTTGATGCAATTCGTGAAATATTTGAAGGTAGCAAATATAACTACAACAATAAATTAGCCTGCTCGTTACCATATGACAATACACTATTATATATGTAAATAAACACTTGTTGATGATGATGTATTGATTCATAACTCACATTACACACTAGAATGATTTACCATTACATTTGACTACTAGGTTAAAACCCGTGGAAACCACGGTTAAAAAAGAAAAATATTATTCCTAATTGAAAATCATAATAAGTAATCAAATATTTGAAAAAAATTTATTAGTTTGCAGAGATAGAAGTATTATCATTTTGTTTATAATTTTATTCTAAAATAAATATATTGACTTTTATGAATATGCTACCAATCAGCTTCCTTGCACCTTATAGGTTTACTCACTACACACATGTCATGCTCCTAGGTTATGTTTGTAAAGTAAGACAACAACGAAAAAATTGAACATTATTTATTATGATGTATTAATAGATGTTATTTTCTATAAGTATATAATCTTTAAATATATAATTAAGATATTATAAAATAATTAGGAAATACAAATAAAATTTAAATTTTGATAGACTAAATATAAGCGATCCCACAAAACATAATAGTATGATCGTGGTGTAAACAAATTACAAATAAACGAAGAAATGCTACAGAGTTATACAAGCACAAATTTATCTTTTAAATCAGGTATGTATTCTATACAAATCTATGATGTACTTGATCTTCATATTTTTCATTTAATTTCTTGTAGCAATACAAGCACAAATTTATCTTTTAAATCATGTATGTATTCTATACACATCTATGATGTACTTAATCTTGATATTTTTCATTTAATTCCAAGTAAATATGGATTATTTTCTATGATTTGATAGATCTTGAATGAAAAATAACGTTTAACTATAATCAAATGAAAATAGTATGCATCATCAAATGAAAATAGTATGCATCACGTTATGCCATTTTGAATCAAAACCTAATTCATAAATGAAAAAAAAAAACAAAAATATAATCCATAAATGTGAAATATTACAATGAAATAAGAGCAATAATAATTTGAAAAAACAATAATATAACTGAAACATGTATACCCACTTGTTCTCCTACTACGGTATGTATAAAAAGATGGTGTTTGGTTATTAAAAGTGTTTGATTCTTGACAATACAAATTACCAATCCAGTTGTCCCTAGTCAAAAACTCCACTGATACACAAATTCCAATTCCAATACACAAATTACACTATATCCCCTTAGTACATCAACTTTTCTTGGTAAACCAAAGTTCAAAAAAAAAAAACTAAATAGCATATGGTTTGATATAGTTCGCCTTTCATGACAAGTATCCCCATTGACAATTGTGTCTAGTGATCTGAGAAATTTCTATTAAAAAAGAACATATTGATCTGATCAAGTTATATAACATATAATTTACCAATAGTTAAAACATATCATGTTATTTCATGATAAACACATCATGGTTCATACTGATCTTTTTATGCTTTACTTTCTAATGCTACTTCATTATTGTTAGAATCGTAGAGAATAACAACCAAATTTTATCAATGTCCTCTTTTTGTTAACTCATGATATTATGGGTAGAAAATGTAAGTCTATTATTAAAATACATTGCGGATATTGTGAAAAAAGAGTAAAGTACATTGCTTTTTCCTACAACTTGTCCTTTATATGTCCCCCATCTTAGTTAGATTTTCGGATGTGGATCAAGAGAAAGAAACCTGAACAATGATCATCGAAAAACTAAACTCAACATATTATAAATATAATAGTAGTTTGGTAATTTTACCGACCTGTTTCAATATGACAACACGTTTTCCTTTACATATGTACAATCACGTCTGAAACTCTTCTTCAATTTCTTTAATAAATAATAAAAAATTATCAGATTCATGACCTTGAAGTTTCCTATATTGAACTGCACGAGCACCTAGACATGCATCATGTTCAACTGGTTTTATTGCTGCAGTTCCAGCATTATCCTGATTTATTTCATAAATTAAGACCAACAACATAAAAGAGAAACATTATATAGTGAAAAAAGAGAAGGGTGTACTTACCTGGCTAGTATCTTTTCCCAACCAGAAATGTATGTCATAATTATAAGCACCTCCCTTCCTAGAAGTAGTCTATTATTGATATTTACTCTAGTTCTATAATCAAAAATTAAGAAGAAACAAATCTAGGGGTATCTATGGCTGAGGGTATACCTAATTAATTTCCCAGTTAGCAGTATATTGAATTATGCACGTTTTTTACCCATCCAACTGATCTCCTACAGAGTGCTACACATTAAATAGATTATTGAATAGAAATTGAAACAAATCTAGATAAAAATGATGAAAGACAAATAAACCTAGCCACGATCGAGCAAATTTCATATAATTATACAAAAAGCACAGTAACCTTGTTATGGCATCAATAAAATATTCATACATTCTGTAATCTTAAAAAACGATATAACTCACAGATTCATGCCCTTTAGTGCTACGATTAATACTAATAACAATGAAGGAACACAAAATTTTAATATAAACCATAAACTAATCACATTTTAACATCCAAAGGTAGGAGACGGAGAAGTGGGGAGAGCGAAGAGGCCACAGAAAGATGACCACAATAATACATCCACAAGTGATGCTTGAATTTCAAAATTGAAACCCTAGAATTAAAATCGACATGTCATTTGGGTTTTGTGTTGATTTCGGAGTTCTCTGACTTTTCAGTTACGAATTTGCTTTGTAATAAAAATTGAAACACGAACAAAATCAAATTGAAGTTGCGTATATGAAACTATACAATACTGATAATCAATTACGTTCCTAAATTTTTGGGATATTCCTACTAAAGCGACAAAATTTGGATTTAAATTTATGGAGATGAGGAATTGTGGATGCAGATTTCTCGCACAGAAATTGGAAAGTATTATATGTTTCAAAAAAAATGTCGATTTGCTTCTATCTTGGCCGAATAGAATGGCAAATGAAAAGTCATAAGGGTATTGTCGGTGTTTCACAATGAAAATTATAGGCGGGAAAAATAGATGGGGAAGGGCTGAGCATATGACACGTGGCTTTATAGGTACTCTTTTATTAGAGTAGGATTCTAAAATAAATATATTGACTTTTATGAATATGCTGCCAATCAGCTTCCTTGCACCTTATAGGTTTACTCACTACACACATGTCATGCTCCTAGGTTATGTTTGTAAAGTAAGACAACAACGAAAAAATTGAACATTATTTATTATGATGTATTAATAGATGTTATTTTCTATAAGTATATAATCTTTAAATATATAATTAAGATATTATAAAATAATTAGGAAATACAAATAAAATTTAAATTTTGATAGACTAAATATAAGCGATCCCACAAAACATAATAGTATGATCGTGGTGTAAACAAATTACAAATAAACGAAGAAATGCTACAGAGTTATACAAGCACAAATTTATCTTTTAAATCAGGTATGTATTCTATACAAATCTATGATGTACTTGATCTTCATATTTTTCATTTAATTTCTTGTAGCAATACAAGCACAAATTTATCTTTTAAATCATGTATGTATTCTATACACATCTATGATGTACTTAATCTTGATATTTTTCATTTAATTCCAAGTAAATATGGATTATTTTCTATGATTTGATAGATCTTGAATGAAAAATAACGTTTAACTATAATCAAATGAAAATAGT